AAACTGATGTTATTTAAAGTTTATCTTTTAATGAAGTTATCAAAGGAAGAACATTTTGTAAAAAAAAATATGTGATTTGGTTAATTCAAAGATTTTCTTTTTTTAATTTTTATTTTTTTAGTCATACATGACAGTAGACTGCATTTTGATATATAATACATACATGGAATGTACATTCATTAATCATAAAGATTTTCTTTTAAATGTCACTATCTCTGTTGGAGGCTGGGTACCGGTGGGGTGAGGTGGGGTGGGGGCTGGTTGTGGCAGGAACTGTATAAAGGGGAGAGGAAATATGGTAGAAAAGAGAGAGAAAGGTGTCAGGGTGAGGGATGTGGGAAGGAAGAGGAAGGCAAAGGGAGAGAACGTGACTGGTGGAAGAAAAACAATAAAGGAAAATGATACGACGTTCTTAGTGACACTGTAATGTAATTAACTTAGGATTATTTGTACTTTAATATGTAGGTTTTTAAAACCTAAAGTTTTAAAGTATCAAGTCCCTAGAATTGCATAGGCTTACACACATGGACGGACACACACACACACACACACACACACACACACACACACACAGGAGAATTCTTTCCTTACTTTATAAAATTATATTAAAGCAGGAATTTTCTTTGGCTAAGCATGCTCCTTGAAAATGAAAGGTACGGAGTTCTGACTCCAGATTACCATCATCCAAATTGAGGTGATGATTTACTTGGTTCTCTGGGTTTAGCCTTTTTTTAAAAGGCTTGCTGCACCTCCTAAGTCCGGTCTGCTGCTACCACACATACTCATTTTGAGTTTTATTTTAGCAATGCAGACTTCCAGCCATGTACATTCGTCAGGCTCACTGAGCTGCAGCGTTTCCCTTGAGGTTCTGTTGTTGTTTTTATCAATAAAAGCCAAGGGCATTACACTGCATTAAAATGTCACATAGCAAAGATATTTTCTGAGGTTTCCACTGAAACAATTTCTGTAAAGTTAGCTTGATGTCTTAACTATTGTTATTTTTTTTCCCTGAATGGATCTCTAAGACAAAACAGAATTAGTTTTTTTTTTCTGTTGTATTTCCTGTCACATCTGAAGATAACATGGACACTTTTAATAGAGATATATGCAATTAGAATATTTGATATTGTCAGTTTTCTTTAAATAATTTATTAGTCCAACTCTTCAATGAAAGCAGGAGAAGAAAAATGAACCATTACCAACGGTCTTGGATCTCCCATTTTCTATCACAATTCTCACAAATTCTTTAACTTTACTGTATTGCAGAAGCAGAGCAGAATCTATGGAGTCAGTCTTGACTAATTTGCACACATGTTTCTACCTTCACTTTTATTCTTTGACCTTGAGCCTGTTAACTAATGTTCCTAACAACCAATTTTCTTATTTATTGACAATTATAGACAATATAGCACATAAATATTTCAGGTTTAAATGAAATGCACACACACAAATTTGTACATTTCTACATGTTTATGGAGGGAGAATTGCAAAGCATCTGGAACATAGTAAGTGTATGCAATAAGTGTAACATAAGAGCAGATATTAGATATGATTTTCAAACCCTTGATTTCAGCCTAGTTTTTCCTTCTGCATTTCTAGTTACCCAGAAAGAATGATAAAGACTTTAAGGAACTCAAAATAAGTTTAAAATCACTATATTTCTTTGAAAAAAAATACTTCTGATACTTCCCCAGTTCTTAAAACAACCTAAGTATTTTGACAGAGTTCCCAGGCTTAACATCCTGGAGTGCGCTCAAATATTTCAATTTCTCTTTGTCATTGCATCTAATCTGTTGGAAAGTACTGTTAAAGTAAAAATATTATGTAAGTCTATATGAATTTTATAATACATTGATCCCACCAATGACCTGGATGACCAGGAACATACTTGGAGTCAAAGTTGAACTTAAATAAGTTGATGCATCAAGTAAATAAGCCCCCCTGGAAGAGACCTTGGGAAAGACTCAGTAAGTGGATTGTGGAGCAGCTTGGTATAGGCTTGGTTTTATGATGAATGACTCTTAGAGTATCTTGGAAAGTATCGGACCATTCAAGATGGGGTACTAGCAAGGCATACATGGGCAGTCAGCAATTGGGCACCTCAGCATTAGGAAACATCACTGGAGAGGCAAGCTGAATGCTTGGCTTGGCATTGGTTAAAAAAAAATTATACAAAAAAGGAAGCAGTGTTAGTCATTTTTCAGCTTTGGAGAAACTAAACCATTGTGTGAAGTTGGCAATGTTTCAGAAATGTTTTTATTTTGCTGGGAACATTGCATTTACCATCAAAGATCAACTTCTACTTTTTCATTATAGCTCTGGTAGAACAAGGTTTTCAATCATTTTCGTAAAATATACCATAACACTGATTCAAGTACATTATTAACAAATGATAAATAAACACATCGTTTAATCAAACAAGGAAAAAAATGAGTCAATATGTTTTTATGGAAATTGCTAATTAAATGTGTTTATGGTTTATGAGACTCTTTGCTACATGTTGGGTCTTTGGGGGTCTAACACATCATGAGATGATAATGTACCAGAATCTCATAATATAGACGAAACAAAGAGAAGTAAATAATAGTTTCTCCATGGTGTATTATAACATAATGACATATGCACACATCAGAGATGTGACAAACTTTGCATAGACAAGTTGAGAACACTTCCCAAATATTCTAACAGAAAAACTTTGCTAAAGGAAAAATAAATATTTAATGCAAGGAACAAAGCTAAGGGGTGTGGCTAGATAGGAGTGTTAAAGTATTGCCCACATGTACTGTTTCCAATATGTGATGCTTTACTCCCTACGTAGTCCAGTGGAAATAAAAATATAGATTAAATCAGTGGGATTTTTTTTTTAAATCTGACACACTGATAAGAGACTTTTAGAGAAGATATATTGGCAAAATTTAGATTTGACAAGGATACAGTGAAATGAGCAAGCTCAAAAGTTGCTGAAGGGTGAACAAATTGCATAGCATTTCTAATGGATGATTTGGTAGTTTGCATTAAGTATTTTAGAAACATTCAAATCCTTTGGCCTGGTGACTCCACTTCTTATAATTTATACCAAGAAACTCAACAGTTATATATACTGATATTAATAGCTGAAGATGGTTATTACAAATAAGTTATATCTAAGGGACTGGAAACAACATAAATATTCAATAAGACAGATAGGGTTAAATCAATTATAATATAGCCATAGACTAGGACACTTTGCAGACTTTAGAAGCCACATTTGCTAAAAACAATTAATGATTTGGGGACATCATCATAATATGACATGGATAGCAATAAAATGTAATGATGTGAAGTTTAGCCTTAGACATGGGTTCTTGTTGTATTTTCATCACTAATCATATAATACAATAAAAATTTCCTAAGTGTCTTAGTCTTAGCCACTTCATCTATTAATAGGGTAAAACAATAGAGTTGTCATTAGAATCAATTGTGATAAGACCTCCAGGATTTAGCAACTTGCACATTAGTAAAGGCTGATTAAATAGTAGTCAAAATAGATGATGATATAGTTTCAAACTGATGTTTTTCTTTTGACTCAGAAATGGGCCTTTTGCCTCTCTGACTGCTGTCTTAGTTTTATGTCTTCTATCTTGTTGAACATGAACTTTTTGGATAATAGCTAGAGTATATCTTCTTGCTTCGCCTGCATAAATAGTAAAGTTTCTCAGATCCTAGCAGTTATTTGACTCCTTAGGGTTTCCCTGATTTTTGACACTTACTGAATATCTACCTTCAGTAAAGTTGGAAACTGTTGGGAGTTGCCCTGGCTCCAAAGACTAACTTCCCCATCCCTCAAGAAGAGCCATCCAATGGTGAGCCCTGCTGGCTCACATGATCCTTACCCATCAATCAGACTAGCCCTGCTGACTCACATGATCCACACCAATCAGACTAGCCCTGATGGCTCACATGATCCTTACCCACCAATCAGACTAGCCCTGCTGACTCACATGATCCTTACCCACCAATCAGAAAGCACCCCATGCCACCTGTCAAACCCTTCAACCATTAAACTGTCATAACTGTCAAACCACCCCCGGCTCTATAAATATGCATAGCTGTTCCTCAATAAACGGGCATTTTCTCTGACGACGAGCCTTGTTCTTTCTTACATATATTACTATATTACATATTAGGCAATATACGTAGCACTGCTGGGCTAGAATAGAGGTGAAAATAATGGCAAATAACCTATGTAGTATAGTGAGTGCCAGACATTATACATTTATAAATACACAAGTTAACTTATTTAGCTTTTATGGTATCTACATGAGGCATGACTGTTGTTAGTATCATTCTGAAGTGAGTATTCTGGAAAAAGTAGTCACCTTGCCTCAGGTCACACAGACAGGGGATTAGCCAGCACTTAATTCTAGGTATCCTGTTCCTGGAGTCCATAATCCATCAGCCCAGTGACTTTTAAAGAAACTGGAATATAAAATCCATGTAGGCAGGCACTGTAAATGACTGCTATACCACTGAAATTCCATTCCTGAACATTGTTTGATTAATCGCACTGAAAAAATCTTGCACAAAGCGTAGCCTCACAACTACTGTAAAGGTTGGGCGAGTGTCAGAGGAAGAGACAACCAAGAGACTGTCTCATGCAACAGCAAAGGGTTTATTGGGGGTCCAGCATGCTGGGGCTCAGAGCTCACTTGAATAGAGCAGAGAGAGAGCCCCGGGAACAGCTTAAGCAGAGCTTATATACTTTCCTTGGAGAGGGCAGGGACTTCATATACAGCATAGCCAATCATTGCACAGTTTCTGGGAGGGGTTGTTTTCATAGAGCAACCAGATGATCAGGGGAGATTTCAACATACATTTAGTGGGCATTTCCGGGAGTTGTTTTCAACTTCTACATGAGTTTCAGGTTCCAGGAAAACAGAACTTAATTCTTACATTCTTAACCTTTTCATTCCCCACTTCTTTTTCTGACTACTTTTAATCTTAAAAGTAAGAAATCATAATTATTGAGTGGTATCACACTCTATTTCTGCCAGTGAGGAATATTGTTGTCTGATTACTATAAGTTTAACTTGTCCAATTTGAGCTTGGAGAAAGGAAACTATACGGTTGAGCAAACAGGGTCCTACAGTTAGCAATAATATGAGGATTATTAATGGACCGGCCAGGCTGATAAAAGCATAGTTAACCAGGGGGACTGTGTGCCAAGACTCAAACCACCCTTTTTGGGCCTCTCTCTCTCGCTGACGCTCTTCAAGGAGTCTTCTTAATTTACTCATAGATTCTTTTACAACTCCAGTATGGTCGGCATAAAAACAACATTCTTCCCTCAATGCAGCACAAAGGCCCCCTTCTCTCATGAAGAGGAGGTCCAACCCTCGCCTGTTCTGTAAAACAACTTCAGAGAGAGAGGTTAAAGATTCCTGTAAAGCTGTGATGGAGGTTTCTAATATCTTTAAGTTTTGGTCTATTGCTGCTTCTAATTGGGTCATTTGTTGTGTCCCACGGACCAGGGCAGTGGTTCCTGTGCCCACCCCTGCAGCAACTCCTATTCCTAATAGGATGGCTAAAGTGAGGGATACAGGTTCCCGGCGGAACCGGGTTGTATGCTCCCCTATTTGATCTTCAAATGAACCTGCGTCATGATAGAGCACGCTGGGAAACATCTGCACCATTACACAATAATTTACAGAGCTGTTAAATACCTGGGCTGAAATGCAAGGAGTTAACCCTGAGTCACATGCCCACCAGGTTCCATTTTCAGGGGTAAGGAAACCCTGTGTGGTGCTAATTTTTTTTTTTATCTGGGTACATAAGTGTTGTTTACTTTTAGGTGGGGACCCTATACATAAGCCTGCCCCGGTTACTTCTGGGAGGGTTAACTTAGGATTTCCACCCCAATTACAGGAGGAACTCTGCGCTTTTACTGCATAAGTCCCGTCAATTGCTATCCCTTCATAGTAAGGAGGAGCAGCGGAGAGACAGAGCCAACAAGACTGAGTGAGGTCTGGTTGCATGGAATTCAGTACCGCAAAGGCTCCTTCAATTAGCCCCCAGGGGGAGGGGTTGACTTCACTCTGGATTGGGGAAGTAAACGAAGGTGAAACTTGAGGAGTATGGGAAAGTGAAGGGATCCTTGTAGATTTAGGTTCGGGAGGTCTATGAGGCCCAATTCCTGGCTTGAGGGGATTGGGCCCTATGGCTAAGGGAATTTCTTTTCTTTCAAACCGGATAGTGAACCAAAGGCCAAAATCATATCCTGTGGTGTAAAATCGCATTCCATAGGTTTTTCCTGAAAGCCATGTCCAGATATTTCGGTTTCTTCCTTTGGAGGTGAAGGTTATATTTAGGGGGTTACATAGGCTACTTGTGTCACATGGAGTAGGGTCAGCTAGTCCAGAAGTCCCCGCTTGGGGGTCCCATTTAAATGGGAGACATTGTTCGGGATTTAACTTAGTATTATTTCTTCCTACCCGAATCAGACTATCAGGGGAGTTTGGGTTCCACCAGGCAGCCCCTGTATGCTCACATCCCCATGACTTACAGAAGAAGTTGGCTTCTCCCCCACACAGCCGTGACTGTTTGCGGCTTCGATAGTCCGCTGGGCAAACATAGTAATCTAGGCTAGCCAACCTGCATCTGGCTCGCGTGTCCCTACATCCATAATGTTTGTTTCCATTATCTATGGTACGGAAGGGATTTAATGGAATTTTAGTGGGATCCTCTTCATCAGGGATATCCCAATAGGAAAGACCTATAGCCAGCTGACAAATGTCTGCGTGGAGAGATGGCCACCAGGTCCCTAAGGGGGCTGTATGCGAGATAGACCATACTTCTTGTCCAGTAGGATTTGTGATCAGCCATCGCTGCTGAACGGGCTGATGAGGGTTAGGATTATTGGTGGTCAAGGGGAGAGTCCATAGCCCTATTCACACGGCGAATACACAATTTGAGAGGATTACCAGTCTTTTCCAGTTTCCAGCCAGAGTCTGGACAGGGCGCAGGCTTGAGATGAGAGGCATGGATCCAGGAAGTAATTCCGTCTACCTTTACCGCTGTAGGTGTTATAAGTAGCACCTGGTATGGTCCTTTCCAGCGGGGTTCCAGGGATGACACCTGATGTCGTCTTACGTAGACGAAGTCTCCCACTTGATATCGGTGTGGAGTCCCTTTGTCCCCAGGTTGGTAGGCAGTGGCCAGCTGTTTCCACAGGTATCGCTGGGTTCTTTCAAGAGTTTTAAGTCTGTCAAGCAAGGGGGTGTGAAAGGAATCATTAGGTCTTAGAGTTGGGGTTAGGTCCCTTACTAGAGGAGGGGCACCATAGAGAATTTCATAGGGGGTGAGGTTACACAAAGAAACAGAGGGAGTATTTTTTGCACGAAACAGTGCATAAGGCAGGAGCATAGTCCAATCTTTTAGCTTAATTTCGTTAAGGTCTCTTTAATGGTTCTATTCATTCTTTCTATCTATCTTGAGCTCTGGGGTCTATAAGCACAACGTAACTTCCAATTAATCCCCAGGGTCCTGGTTAACCCCTGATTTACCTGGGCCACGAACGCCGGTCCATTATCAGACCCTATTACCTTAGGCAGGCCTTATCTTGGAAAAATATCTTCCAGGATCTTCTTGACTACCATTTGCGCCGTTTCTTTTTTTGTGGGGAAGGCTTCAATCCATCCTGAAAATGTATCTACAAAGACTAGGAGATATTTGAGTCCATACCTTGCTGGCTTAATTTCAGTAAAGTCCACTTCCCAGAATTGTCCTGGTCTGGTTCCTCGTAGGCGCTTTCCTGCAGGAAGCTTGGAAGAGTAAGCATTAACCAATTGACAGACCCGACAGGCTTTTGTTACCCGTTCAGCTATTTCCTTTCGCTGTGAGTCGGTTAGTGGAAAACTCGGTTCTTGATCCTTCAGGAATGCCTGCCGTTTCTTTGAACCAAGGTGAGTGAGTTGATGTACATTTTTAACGTAGTGTAGGGCTTTCTGAAATTGCAGGCTGGGCTCAGTGAAGTCGAGGAGTTCAGTGTCAGTGTCCTTAGATGTTAAGTTGTCGGGGTGCTCCGATGTAGTTAAATCTCCTGACTTATGTTCCCCCGGTGTGGAAAGTGTTAACATGGTTACTCCGTTTAGGGCTGCCAATTTAGCCTCTTCATCTACCCTCCTGTTCCCAACCGCTACGGGATTGTTTCCTTTCTGGTGTCCTGGACAGTGCACTATAGCTAGTTCCCTAGGGCTTTGCACTGCTGAGAGGAGGCGGAGGATCTCATCTCTGTTTTTTATTTCTTTTCCCGCCGAGGTTACTAGTCCCCTTTGCTGGTAGATAGCCCCGTGTATATGAGCGGTAGAGAAGGCATAGCGGCTATCTGTGTATATGGTGGCCTTTTTGCCTTCCGCTAGCTCCAATGCCTTCGTGAGGGCGATCAGCTCTGCCTTTTGAGCCAATGTTCCCTCAGGGAGGCTAGAGGACCAGATGACTTTAGTTCTGCTAACTATTGTTGCTCCAGCCCACCGCTTACTGTCCTGGAGGAAGCTGCTGCCATCAGTGAACCATATGACTTCAGGGTGGGGCAGTGGCTGATCCTTTAAATCCCATCGTATACTGGTTTCTTCTGCCAGTATATGTTGACAGTCATGAGTGACGGGTCCTGATGATTGTTCAGGTAGTAGTGTAGCCGGGTTAAGCGGGGCGGGGGGTCCCAGCATTATTCTGTCTTTGTCAAGCAACAGGCACTAATAGTATGTTATTCTAGAGTTTGATAGCCATCTGTCTGGTGGCTGGCGGATGATGCTCTCTAGGGCATGGGGGGCTATAATGTTTAGCTTCTGCCCCAGCGTTAACTTATCAGCATCCTTGATTAGAAGGGCCGCCGCTGCTATAGCTTTTAGGCAATGGAGCCATCCACTAGCCACTGGGTCCAGCTTTTTAGACAAGTAGGCTATAGGCCTTTTCCAGGGCCCTAGAGTCTGAGTGAGCACTCCTCGTGCTATTCCTTTATTTTCCTCAATGTAGAGAGTAAAGGGTTTTTCTACATTCAGGAGTGCTAAGGCCAGAGCAGATAGCAGCATTCTTTTGATGTTATCAAAAGCTTGCTGGTGCTCAGGGGTCCATTGGAATTGGGCATCTCCCTTTAACAGCGGGTATAAAGGAGCAGCTAAGGACGCAAACCCAGGTATCCATAACCTGCAAAAGCCAGCAGTCCCAAGAAACTCTCTGAGTTGCCTGCTGTTAGATGGGGGTGGTATGTGCACAACGGTTTGTTTTCTGGGCTCAGTGAGCCATCGTTTACCGCCCCTAAGGGAATAGCCCAGGAAGATTACTTCTTGCTGGCAAATTTGGGCCTTTTTGGCAGAAGCTCTATATCCGAGTTGAGCAAGCTCGGATAATAGTACTTGGGTCCCAGACTCACAGTTTTCCTTGGTGTCAGCTGCCAGTAGCAGGTCATCCACATATTGGAGTAGGGTGACTTCGGGGTGCATAATTCTGAAGTTATTGAGATCTCTGTGGAGGTCTTCATCAAAGAGAGTGGGGGAGTTTTTGAACCCCTGTGGGAGTCTAGTCCAAGTTAGTTGACCAGACGTTCCAGTTTTTGGGTCTACCCACTCGAAAGCAAACAGCAACTGACTATCTTTATGCAGAGGCAAGCAAAAGAAAGCATCTTTTAAGTCCAGAACAGTATACCATTTCCGCTCAGGGTTCAGAGTGTACGGATTAGGTACCGTGGGGTGAATGTCCTGCACTCTGTTGTTGATCTCTCTTAGGTCTTGAACGGGGCGATAGTCCCCAGTTCCTGGCTTTTTTACTGGTAGCAGGGGAGTGTTCCAGGCTGATTGACAGGGCCTTAGGACCCCTAAGGCCAGATATTTCTGAATATGGGGCCTTATCTCATCTTTAGCTTCTTTGCTCAGAGGATATTGTTTGACATTGATTGGGGAGGCTGAGGTTTTTAACTCCATTGTTATTGGAGGTTGTTTCACAGCTAGGCCTAATCCAGCAGTTTCTGCCCAGGCATCTGGGTAATCTTTATCCATTTCTGGGGGTAGCTTGCCTGTTTGATCAGTCTTGGGGGGTGTGAAGAGTTGATGTTCATCTTCTACTGACATAGTTAAAGCCATGACTATAGGAGTTTTTACTGAAGGATTTAGAAATTCCACTTGGGGGCCTTCAGGGTTAAAAGTTATTCTGGCCCGGAGCTTGGTGAGCAGATCTCTGCCCATAAATGGAGCTGGGCATTCTGGGATCACTAGGAAGGAGTGATGGACTTTTCCTTTCCCCAGGTCCATGGTCCTCTTAGTTGTCCAAGCCCGATATTTACTGCCTTTAGCCCCTTGAACTAGAGACCTTTTATTTGATAGAGGGCCCAATGGGGCCTTAAGGGCTGAGTATACTGCCCCTGTATCCACTTCAAAGTTTACTGGGGTCCCCTCCACTTCAAAAGTTACCCTGAGCTCGGAGAGGGGATCCGAGCCCTGACTTTCCTAATCATCATCCAGAGTGAGAATGGCTGGCTGGCGTGGCTGTCTCTTTCTAGGGCACTCTTTGGCCCAGTGTCCTTTTTCTTTACAGTAGGCACATTGATCTGAGGCCAGGGGTGGCCTCTGGCGTGGGCCCAGGTATCCCTTCCTGTCTCCCTGTGTCTTAATTTCTGGCCTATTTGTTGTTGTGACCAGGACCTTAGTCAATGCCTTAGTCTGTCTTTTGCTTCTCTCATCCTCCCTTTGCTCCCTTTATTTCTCCCTCCTTTGTTCCTTTTCTTCCTCAGTTTCTCTCTTATAGTATACCTTCTCGGCTTCTCTGACTAAATCTCTCAAAGTCATATCTTGTAATCCATCTAAGCGTTGTAACTTTCTTTTAATATCCAGGACAGCTTGCCCAATAAAGGTCATCGTGACAGATGCCTTTTGATCCTCTGCCTGAGGATCGAAAGGAGTATATCTCCTATATGTCTCCATAATTCTCTCTAGAAACATAGAGGGAGATTCATCAGGCCCTTGAATAATCTCTCTTACCTTGGCCAAATTAGTTGGTCGCCTACCGGCTGCTTGGAGACCCACTATTAGAGCCCGGCGATAAGTGGACAGATGCTCCCTACCTTCAAAGGTGTTGGGGCCCCAGTTGGGTCAGTTCAAGGGGAAGCTGGCTTCGATTATGTTGGGAAGTTGTGTTGGTTGCCCGTCTGGTCCGAGGATATTTTTTCTAGCTTCCAGGAGGATTCTCTTTTGTTCCTCTGTCATGAAGAGAGTCCTTAGGAGTTGTTGGCAGTCATCCCAAGTAGGCTGGTGTGAAAACATCAATGACTCAACCAGACCTGTGAGCCAGGTGGGGTCCTCGGAAAAAGGGGGATTGTTATTTTTCCAGTTATATAGGTCTGAAGAGGAGAAAGGCCAATACTGGTAGGCTTGCATTTTTCCCCCATGGCCATTGTCAATCATTGGCCCATAGGGACGGAGGGGGAGCATCACGGGAGCTCCAGGGTTTTCAATCATTCACCGCCGGCGAGTTCCTTCAGCTGGGCCAGCTTCCTCCAGGGGAGGAGGGGCTGTGTGTGCCGCGGGGGAGTCATCTGGAGGGCGCTGGGCTGGCCTAGCTTCCTCCAATGGCGGAGAGGCTGAGTCAGCAGCAGGGGAATCACTTAGAGGGTGTTGGGGGTTGGGGGACGAGGGCAGGGGATAAGGAGGGGGAGGAGAGTCCAGTAGAGTCAAATCTTGAGACTCAGGGAGAACAAAGGGTGGAGGAGGAGGAGGAGCAGAGGGTTTGAGAGATAGAATCGTGGGGGAAGGAGTAGGAGCGGGGGCAGGGACAAGGAAAGGCTTCACCCACGGAAGAGGTGATTCGCAGAGGTCCTGCCAAGTTGTGGATCTGGATGGCTATGTGGCCCCGGCTGAAAGACAATATCTCTGACTTTTCGAATTAGTGGGAAGTAGAAAGATCCTTCTCGGGCCATCCGACTCCAAAGGTGGGCCATTCTGAGGCACAGAGAGTCTGCCAGGTCTGGCGTTTTACTGAAAAAGAAAGATTCTGAGCCCTTAAGCGGACTTCGGTCCAGTGATCAAGGGTCAGGGACAGAGGCGTTGAAGTGCTCTGTCCCATAATGAAAGATACACATACAGTGAAAGCAACGACACACAACACAGACAAGACAAGACAATAAAGACAGACAATGGACGTCCAACACTGAGACCAGGACTGAGTAGCCGGCAAAACCCAATGGGCTGGCAATACCAAATCCGAAACAAAATATCACCGAGTCAAGGAGACTATTGTTCCTCGATTTCCCAAGTCCTCTGAGGCGTCCCCCAGGGACATGGCCTGTGGCTCTGTGGACGTCTGTCAGCCACCGTCGGAGAGAGCTCATGCTCTTCACCGACAGCCACTTTGCCAAGCCCTAACCTGAAACCGGAAACCGGAAAGAGGCGCCTTACTTACCCCGAGAGGAGTCCGTTGGGGTCTTCCATCCGCCACTGCCGGATCTCGGTGGGACCTCCATATGTAAAGGTCGGGCGATCGTCGGAGGAAGAGACCACCAAGAGACTGTCTCATGCAACAGCAAAGGGTTTATTGGGGGTCCAGCATGCTGGGGCTCAGAGCTCACTTGAATAGAGCAGAGAGAGAGCCCCGGGAACAGCTTAAGCAGAGCTTATATACTTTCCTTGGAGAGGGCAGGGACTTCATATACAGCATAGCCAATCATTGCACGGTTTCTGGGAGGGGTTGTTTTCGTAGAGCAACCGGATGATCAGGGAAGATTTCAACATACATTTAGTGGGCATTTCCGGGAGTTGTTTTCAACTTCTACATGAGTTTCAGGTTCCAGGAAAACAGAACTTAATTCTTACATTCTTAACCTTTTCACTACACAGTGGAGAAGATAGGCATTTCACATTTCAAATGCAATATTTTGCATGACACCTTCCAGATAATCATTCTACAGCTTGTTTTTTGCCTCCTGGGCTGTCAGTACCTACCATTGAGGCTACACCATTATACAGTTTTTTATTTTATTAGCTGTCATACTAGCATAGTCCTAATTGTAATGGAAACATTATTTTCCCAACCATTTGGCCAATTAGTTCTAAATCATGGGAAACAATCAACAGAAAACAATAAGATGATTTCCAAAATTATTTTTTCTTATTTTAGATACATAATTGTGGTTTACTACACACACACACACGTTTCAAGTGTTTGCTAACAAAACAAATGTGTTTTTTATCCTACTTTATACTTAGAAAATTCACGGCTTTGTAGTGGCATGTGGTTCCAGATCTCAAAGCTGAGAGCATGATTTTGGCTCTTGTTTTTGGGTTTGCTTGAGTGAATAGTTTATTATAACTACATTTTAAAATTCCTTAGAAACACGAAACAGTCTTTGCCAGGAGTACAACTGCTTTCCATCTAAAATGCCAGCATTTCAGTGTGTCTTGCAACATTTTAATTAGTTTGCTTATGGAACCAAACGCATAAAATGCTGAAGGAAAGGAAAAGTCTCCCTCACTATAATTACTTTTTGCAAAGGATTACTTACATTTTCATAATTATTCAAGTGTTTTCGTACAGAAAATCTTACAGTTTAAATGGAAAAATTATACCTCCATAAAAGCCACTGCAAATTAGCAGCTTTAATGTAGCATTCTAATTCTCGGTACAGTGTACTATTGATACTGCTGTCAAAATCACACACAGGTTGTTTAGAAAGATAGATTTGCTGTATCAATCTGTTAAATTTGAGTTATTCCTGGAAGATTTGTTGTCCTTCAATGTAGCATTCTGTTTCCAAAGGAATTCTAAGCTGTACCATTTTTTAATAGTTGAAGAAATTAAGAATTTCCCCATCGAGGTTAGCAATGAGTTTTTCCACTCATAATATTTCCCTATAGAGATGTAGAGATAGACTGGCCTGGCCAGGAGGTGGCAAAGAAGGGTAAAGACTCAATTAGATTTCTTCTACTACATTTGAGCAAATTATTGACAAATTTATATATTACTTCTAGTATTGGTGTGGTAGATAGATTTTTCTACTTAAAGATAATAGATAAGTTATGTAGTAAGTACAAATATGATCAACTAACAATTATATATTCATGTAATCAAATAGAAGAGACATACATAACTCTTAAAATTAATTTTAAGGAATAAAAATAAGCAGAAGTGAAAATAAAGACCAACTCCAATCTCATCACCCTGAGAGAGGTGTTTAGCATTGTAAGCTCTTGCTAGGAAGTTAAATAATTTCATATCCTGGTAATATACAAAGTGGAACATAATTTCCGACTTTGAATTTGTGAAGAGTTCCTTGCTGCTCCCAATCAATCACTGTTGACCAAGCTTTGCTAGAGGGAATTATGAGAAAAAGAAAGCACCAGATTTGTACACCATCATAAGATGACAATAATTGCATTAGCAAGTCAGAAATGGGAGATTAAAATGCCTTTTTTTTTTCAAAGCAGTAAGCATCTATAACTATTATTCAGAGGTGATCCATCCCTTGAAATCTGTAAGAAAGGTAATGACAACAACCAAGTTAAAGAATAGGAGAATCTTGCATTTGGGGGTCAGGGTAAAATGCACTAATTTTTTTAATAACTTTTAAAATTTGCCTTCAATTACAGCTGAACATGAAAAGGAGGTAAGAAATTGTTGTGCTCACATCCTGAAAAGGTTATATAGAAAGCTTTGCTTTTGATCATGCACTTGTGTGGAAGATCCAGGGAAGAGAGAAACAGAAATAAATTCTCACTCTGCAGCTTGACATATATTGTTAACAGAAACGCAAAAATCACAAAAGTTGTGCCAAAAAGGATAGCAAGTTATCAAGAAGCTAATTTTGTGTCGCCTAGGTCAGTTGGGATTAAATGAGGACAACACTACAAGGTAATTGCATACAGACTGAATGGTTTATGTGCCTTAAACATGCGCGCACACACACACTCACACACACACAAATAAAATGTGTCCCAAGAACATCCACCCAGTGTTTCTAAGGATCAGAAGAAAATAGCCTTTTGCGGTTAGGATTTTGTAAGACATTTGAAGCATATTTCATCATTTATTCAAATATTTGTTTCGATTCCAAAACCCAAATACCTTTCAAAAGAGCAAATGACCATTTGCTAATAATTTTCTCCTACATGTCTAAACCAAGAGATAATGCACAAATAATTAGCTTCCAACTATTGCATCAGAGCAATATGTCAGAAAATCATGACTGTATTTTCATGTGATTTGAAGAACAGCAAATTTGGAAAATAAAAGCACTCAACAAATGCATCTAGGGAGACCAAAGTACTGTCCAAATCAGTAAGGAATCGAGTTTCAAGCGCTTGCATACAGTACAATAAACCATATGGAATGGCAACTTCACATGGTTCAGCCTAATAGTAGTTGTTTTTATAAATGCTGTGGTGGTACTGCTTTTTACTTCAGCATAACATTATTAATCATCCCACATCTGTGTAATAAATGACCCCCAAATTTAGATGCTTAAAACAGCAGAAACTTATGTCATAGTTTCTGTTTCAGGAATTGGAAAGTGCACAATGGGTGGTTCTAGTACAGGGTTTCTCATGAGGTGTCCATCAAGTTATCAATGAGGGATGAGGTTACTGGAAGGCTGACTGCAGCTGGAGGACCCACTAACAGGCTCACATGTCACCAGGCTCTTTCACTAAGGCAGGTTGAGTGATCCTGTAGTATGACCACTTATTGGACCTAGGGTGAAACATCTAAGAGATAAAAAGGAATGCCCCCCTCTGGCCGAGAAGTCATGGTGCCTCTTATGGCTGCGTCTTGGAAGTCAGGTACCGTCTCACCTGCTATATTTTGTTTATCTGAAATGAGTCGCTAAGAGCAGAATTAGGTTCTGGATTTCAGATAGAAGAGTACCAAATAATTTGCAGACGGATATTAAAATCACCACACAACTTTCTTTAGTCAGAGGCTTGGCACAGTTTTTTCCACCCTAGTGCATTCTTTCTCTTCTCATCACCTCAAATCTTCCTGCAAAGACTTCATTTCTCTCATTTCTCAGCATTTCTGTTGAGGTGGAACAACTGAAAAGCAGTAGTTCTTTACTTGCAGTGTCAAGGGCCTATAAGACAACCGTAAGTCACCTTTCCATGTTAGATAGTAAATAGTTTACTGCAGTAGGGAGAGAATTCTGTTCCTGTTCTATTTAGGTTAACCCTCCAAATCAAAAACTTTGAAGGGAGCTACCCCAGCAAATTTGTCAGGGGTAATTCTCCACCACATCCCGCGTGAGTAAGGGAGTGAGTATCCATTGGAGGTATGGGCTGGCTGAGAAATAAAGCCTTGGAAGCAGTAGTATTAAATAAACACAGAAAGCCAGAATCATTTTAGAAGCAGGGAGTGATGGATTGAGCAGAACAGTTAGGTCTGACTTCTAACAAACAAAAAGCACACACTTACTTTATTTATATCAGTATAGACCAAAGGGGATCAATAGGGATCTCCTTCAAGGGGGACAGGATGAGAGTGGAGGTTGGTTGTGCATGGCAAGTTATGCCCATCTCCGGTGGCTGTGTTTGAACTTGGAGCTGAGAGCTAGGTCAAGGTGCCAGCATGATCTGGGTTTACCTGAACTGGGGAATTTCACCCAGGAGTTCACAGAAGAGCCGCCTCCCTGGCTTAAGGGCTGGAATACTGCCCATTGTCCACACAAAGTTCACGCATGGTTACCAACAGGAAACCCTCCTTATTGTGTGCTAGAGTAACTGAGTTGTGATTTTAGCTTAGTTACTAATTACCTGTCAAATGTTGGTAAAGTAGCTCAATCTGACACCTCAATGTTCCTTATCTTGGCAGTGGGGTTACCCCTAAGGTTTCATTTAGTGGCACATAGTATTATATATGATTATTATTAAGTAATGTGTGGAGTTTAATGTCCCTAGTAAAAGAGGACAGAATTCGTTCCACTCCCCCTTTGGTTTGGTGCAGTTGTGCAGGGTATTAACAAAATACCTCATGCGCTCCAGTACGCCCTCCTTCTCTCCCCCTCCGTCTCCCCCTCCACTCCCTCCTCCCCTCCCCCTCCCCCTCCCTCTCCCTCTCTCTCATCATGTTTAGATCTAGCC